CTAGAGGGGACACAGATTCATGAGTGTGTCTCAAACTTAGACAAATTCATAGTGCCCAGGCATCTCAACTCCACTTCTCCATCAATCGAGCCAGAGACCTCCACATCAACTCAGCCTTTTTCCACCCTGTGCATGGCCTCCAGCTTCATCACTTCTCCAGGCTGGGCTCTGGTCCAGATCATTACTCATCTCAGGTCTTTGAATCTGCCTATCATTGCCGCCACACTGTAGTCAGACTTCCATTTCCCAGATGCAAGCCTGGTTTTGTTTCCATGTAAGATCCTTTGTTAGGACACGGCCACCTGTGGTGGCGCACACCTTTAATCCCAGCATTTTGGGAGGCAGAGGCAAGTGGATCTCTGAGTTGCAGGAAAGCCAGGGCTACACTACACAGAGAAACCATGTTCCAAATAAACAACAACAAAAATAAAGCTATTTATTGGCCCCCAGGACCAAATTCAGCCTCTGTTACACAGCAGTCAAGGCGTCTCTCCTTCCTCTCCTGCTCTTCTTTACTCTCTTCTTCCGTGTGTGTGTGCGCGTGTGCGTGTGTGACTATCCCAGGCTGCCCTCAAACTGGCTATGTAATCCAGGCTAGCCTCAAGCTCACAGTCTTCCTGACTGGGCCTCCCAGAGTGCTGGGGTCACAGGTAGGTGTCACCACACTATATGTGGGTCTTCCTGATGTGGCCTTTCTCTGGTAATTCCATCTCTCACCATGCACACACAATTCTCCATCCCCATCTCATAAGTATTCAGAGAATGAAATACCCTGATGGGAAGTACACACTCAGTATAGGTCTTGACACCAGGTAAATATCCAAATAGTAGGAAGGTTTATTTTTGCACCCCAAACATGGAAGAATCTTGACATGCTTCATGGAAGAGGTATCACTGGATGGTGGGAGGATTTGGCCACATGGGACCGGGGGAAACAAAAGATTGGAAAGGAGCAAAGGCCAGGACTCATCATGCCTGGGGCAGCACAGAATGACTTCCAGGAGCTTGTGCTAAGAGTTTAAATGAGACTGGAATTGGAGCTTTCTTGAATGGACGATGTGAAGCCTGTGAGACAGGACTACCTTAGCCTCCATTGTGTGTGGTGTATGTGTGCATGCACATTCATGTGCAGGTGTATGTGCAGGGGGGGGGGAAGCCAGAGGAGGACTTGGGGTGTCTTCCTCTATTGATCTCATTTGGGTTTTGTTTGTTTGTTTTTTGAGACAGAGTTTCTCTGTGTAGCCCTGGCTATCCTGTAACTCACTCTGTAGACCAAGCTGGTCTTGAACTCAAAGAGATCCCCCGCCTCTGCCTCCAAGTGCTGGGATTAAAGGTGTGCACCACCAATGCCCAGCTCTCTATTGCTCTCTTATTGCCTTGTAATGGAGTCTCTCACAGAATCAGAAGCTCACTGTTCTGTCTATACTGGCTGACATGTGAGCTTGGGATATGCCTCTCTACCCCCTCTCCCAATCCTGGTCTGACAGGCATGCAACTAATAATTTTTTTTTTTTCGAGACAGGATTTCTCTGTATTGCTCTGGAGCCTGTCCTAGAACTCACTCTGTAGACCAGGCTGGCTTCGAACTCACAGAGATCCACCTGCCTCTGCCTCCCAAATGTTGGGATTAAAGTCATGCACCACCAAGGCCCAGCAGCACCTAATAATTTAAAAATTATTATTTTACATGTATAGTGTTTTGCCTGCATGTATATCTGTGCACATCATTCATGCATCACCCTCAGAGGCCACAAGAGAGTGTCAGATCCCCTGGAACTGTTACAGAAGGTTATGAGCTGCTGTGTTGGTGTTGGGAATCAAACCTGGCTCCTCTGAAAAGGAACCAGTTCTCTTACCACTGAGCCATCTCCCAGCCTCTGAACTTGTGTGTGTGTGTGTGTGTGTGTGTGTGTGTGTGTGTGTATGTGTGTGTGTAGAGGTGTGCATGTGGAGACAAGAGGTCAATTTCTAGTGTATCTTTAGTTACTCTCCACCTTACTATTCTTTTTTTGGGGGGTGGTTAGCAATTTAAATTTTAAACTAAGTTTTATCAATCCTTCACTGTCTCAACAGAGCTAAATGAACACTGTGTGTGTGTGTGTGTGTGTGTGTGTGTGTTGGGGGATGTTGAGTCAGGGTTTCTTTGTGCAACAGTCCTGACTGTACTAGAACTCATTTTGTAGACCAGGCTGGCCTTGGACTCCCTAAGATCTGTCTGCCTCTGCCTCCCGAGTGTTGGAATTAAAGAGTGCCACTGTCCAGCTAAATGAATACATTTTACTAGGAGTCTGAATCACTCTTCATATTGTTTAATTGTCATGTTTTCTAAGTTTTGGTACACACACACACACACACACACACACACACACACACACACTTACTTAAAAGTAAAACTCCAGCTTCCTTGTGAAGAGGCCGGAGAGATGGTGTGGTGATCAGGAGCACTTGCTGCTCTTCAGGAAGACCCAGCACCCACACCCGGCAGCTCACAATTTCCTGTAACTTCAGTTGCAGGGGATCTGACGCCCTCTTCTGGCCTCTGCAGGCCAGGCACTTACACACTTGACATATTGTCATGAAGATGCACACATACAGATTAAAAAATCTGAACCTTGTGCTCAGGCATACCAACATGCCCAATTCTGTGCCTGGGTGCTGTAGACAAGGCTTTAAGAGCTGAATTATCAGTCTTGAGACAGGGCCTCACTATGGTGCTCAGGCTAAGCTTTAACTGGCGATTCTCCTGCCTCAGCCTCCTGGGTGCTAGGAGGATGGACTTACACTGTCACACCATGCCCTCTCCACCTCTATCCTCATCCTCGATAACAACCAGAGGGGCCTTCCAGAGTGGGCTCCCATCATTCCATCCCTGCCCTTCCTTTACCAGCTCCAGCTGCTTCTTGAACCAAGAGGGTTCATGGGGAGGGGCATGGGGTGCTTCTGGAAATTACCAGAGGACAGCAGTAACTAACAAAGACACCCTTCCCATCCTATTGCCTCTTCTCTCCATGGTCAGCTCTAGGCACAGCGGCCTTTATCTGGCACCTCCTACTTTCCTCAGGCAGTGACTACTGAGCCTGTACAATCTGCTTTACAGGCCGTTTGTCCACGCCACTCTTCTTTCTTTACAGACGGGATCTATGCAATTCCTACCCATCCTTCACAACAACATTGCAGCCTTTCTCCCAGAACTCCTTGCTTCTCCTCTTTTATAAGCTCCTAGAAGTCATGTGTGTCTCCTCTTTAACACTTTCTGAGCTTGCAAGTTCGTGTGTGTGTGTGTGTGTGTGTGTGTGTGTGTGTGTGTGTGTGTGATGGAAAAGAAGGCCATAGGGTTGTAAGACCCCAAACTGCAGCTCCCTGGAGGGCCTGACACGGTGCTTGGTATAAATACCAGCAGAATGAAATGGTAGTGCTGGGAATGAAGTGGAAAAGGACAGAGGTCATATCCAGAAGGGTCTTTAAGAGGCTATTGCCACAGCTCAGGTAAAAGGGGGGAAGTGGGGTGGGTACAAGAGTGTTAGAGAGCAGCATAGCAATGGAATTGACTAGGTCAGGAAACACATTAGCGTGGTAGGCTCTGAGGATGTGGCTCAGTGGTTGGGCACTTGCTTAGCATGCACAAGGCCCTGGGTTCAACCCCCAGTGCTTAAAATGAACAAAGAAGCAAGAACCCAGTTGTGACTTAGATGGCGGACTGCAGCTGTTGTCAGTAAGTGGGGTGTAGGCTAGTGAGAGGAGTCACAGAAAGCAAGGGGCAGCTGGATGCCACTGTGTCCTGGGGTGGGATGCAGTTAGGAGATGAGTTAGAATCTGAGAAAAGAGGTCAAGGCAGTAACACAGGGGTGAGAAGCAAGAAGACAGACAGGTATATATATGGGCTGAAGAGATGAGTAAAGTGCTTGCCAAGCACAGGCAAAGCCCTGGGTTTTATCCTTAACACTACAAAACTCCAGAACAAATTCATCTAATGCCCCGACTTGCCAAATCAATACAAAGGAAAGTAAAAAGGGGCTGAGAGTCAGAGGCCACAAGTCCAGTCTCAGCTCTGATGGCCTGGGCCCTGGGCCAGTGTCCTGCCTGGCTGAACCCTATGTTTTCAAGTATAAAGCACTGAGAAGAAGTCTCCAGTTTGTCTGTGGCCCTGAGAGCAGTCACCCCAGTTAACCCTCTGGGCTTGGGCAGCCTACAGCCTTTGGCAAGTGCATGAAGCCCAAGGGGGACAGAGGGACTCTAGGGTGAGGACTCTGAAGACATGGAGCAGCCCTGGCTGGCAGATAGTCTTGGGCCATTATAGGGTCCCCTGTGCGAATGTTTGGATACACAAGGCAGCCAGGGCTAACCAGGATGTCATTACAGCCTCTACTCTACCCACATCCACCCAATTTCACCAGCTTCACAGGGTCCCAGAGAACTGAAGCCCACCACGAAGAGAGCCACCACAGAGCTACTCAGCCTGGCTTTCCTTGTGGGATCACAAAGGTGGGCTGTGTTGAACTAAGTCACCATCATGGAAGGAACTGGGAGAGAGACCAGTGCCTTTGTTTGGTTTTGTGGCTAGGAAGAGGTCATGGAAGGGATCAGGCATGCTATGAGTAGAGAAAGCCACAGGGCTGCCTTCCGGTCCCCATGTAGCTGTGGAATTGCACTCAGGAAGGGTCTGCAGGGGTTCTGGCCCACAGAAACCCTGTTCTTGCAATGTGGCCTGGACTTGTCTTCCCTCTCAGGTCCTTGATCCCCACTGTAGTACCTGCCATTGTCACCCTGCCCTGCCACTATCCTGACAGGGAGCATTTGGTATTGCTTGGTTTTGTCCAGCAGTCCCCTGGGAGAGGGGTCTGCACAAGAAGCTCAGGTCATATGTCCTGGAGGAGCCTACTGGACTGTGAGTGACCAGGAGGGTGGAGTGTATCCAGAAATTCACCAGACCACTGCATGGCTTTCATGCCCACATAGCTGAGGGACAAACTTCCTGAGGTTTCTCTGCCCTCTCTCTGCAGTCTCGAAGTAGTGTGCAGCAGGGGGACATAGATGGGGCACGGAGGCTGGGCCGCCTGGCACGGCTGCTCAGCATCACCTTCATCATCCTGGGCATCGTCATCATCATTGTGGCTGTCACTGTCAACTTCACAGGTAAGGCACAGGGGCACGGAGCAGAGAGAGCCCTGGGGACGGGGGGGGGGGGGGGGGGGCAGTGGTGAGGGTATAGCCATATCCTTTCCCTTCAGTCAAGACAATTTAAATGAAGATGTGTTTTCTGACTCCTCTTATGCCTGCGCTGATGGATCAATAGAAGAGAGTAGAATGGGCACTGGCCTAGGAATCAGAGGCCACAAATTCCATCCTCAACTTTGATGGCCTGTATCACAGTTTAATAAGGATCAGGATAAACAATTAGGCCGAACAGATTCAGGGAGAAATAACTCACAACACAGACAGGTGAACACCAACGGATTCCTGCTTCCAAGAATTCCTCTGGATGTCCTCCTGTCCCCATGCAGCTAGCAAGAGAGCACTCTCCTGCGCCTCCGACCTAGTTCCCCAGGTCACTTCCGCCCCTGGCTCCACCCCCAATGGGTGTGGTCAGTGCCACAGAAGGAGACAAAGTGAATATCCCACTACAGGCCTGGGATCCAGGCCAGTGCCCCATTTGGCCAAACCTTGCATTTTCAAGTAAAAGTACAGAGCCTCCATCATGGAGGGCTTTTGTGAGCATCACATTGGATAATGGATGTGATGGCTTTGGAGAATGATGGCCAGGCCTCCTTGCTGTATGGCCAGGGTAGACCAGAAACAAGCTGCACATTCAGAAGATGGCAGGAAGCAAAGCTGTTAGTACTTGAAGGTGGCCCAGGGCACTTGTCTGAGGTGGAACCTTTTTCAGAGGACACTGTCAGCCATAGCTTTGTGGAGGCTATTCATCTCAGAGCTGTCCCAAGCATGGGGCACTCTGGGACATCACTGTTTATTTTAGAGATCAATCTAAGCCTCTCCCATAAAGACCTTGCTGTTCAAAACATGCTCTGTGGTCCTGCAGGGGCATCACCTGGCACTGTTTTAGACTCTCAGACCCCACTCTGCACCGACTGAATGGAAATCTGCACTGTAGATTTTCTCCTTTCTTTGGTGGTGCTAAGGCTGGAACTCAGGGCTTCACTCATGCTAGGGAAGCAACGTCCCTTAGAGCTAACCACCAGCTTAGAATGTATTCTAATAAGATCTCCAATTCAGGTATCGTTGTGGGAGGCGCTGGCATAGAGCAGGAAGTACTCAGAGTCATGGGAAGTCTTGTCTACTCAGGAGGGTCATGGGCAATCTTGTCTACTCAGGAGGGTGGTGGGCAGTCTTGTCTACTCAGGAGAAGCAAGTGTTCAGGGTTTTTGTTTGTTTGTTTGTTTTTTAAAAGAACTATTTATTTATTTATTTTGTATACAGTGTTCTGCCTGCACTCCAGAAAAGAGCACCAGTTCTCACTATGGATGGTTGTGAGCCACCATGTGGTTGCTGGAAATTGAACTCAGGGCCTCTGGAAGAACAGTCAGCGTTCTTAATCTTTGAGCCATCTCTCCAGCCTATAAGTGTGCAGGTTTTTGTCTGGGCTCAGAGTTCAGATCCTCCATTTACTTCCTGTGTAAATGGGGTTTCATGTTTCATAAACTCTGAACCTCTTCTTTCTCCATCAGTGTGGAGTCTGATGGGTGTTCAGGCATGTGAGTGGCAGGGACCAGCATCCAAAGGCATTGGGCTCCATATCACTTATCATGTCCCAGGTTACTTGTTCTGCTGCTTGTCATTGTTGGTGGGACAACCTTGGAACTCAATTTGGCAAAGGAAGTTTGTAGCTTTCAGAAATAAAAGATATTTCAGGATTGGCTGCTCTATCTTAGTGCAAAGCCATATCTAGATACTTGGTGGCAAGTGACAGGAATCTGTCTCATGCTCATGTCTGGCTTTCAGTGTGTTGGCCTAATGTCTAGGCAGGACCTATGCTTATGATGACAACCACTAGGGATAATAGTGTTCTAGGAGAAGCAAACATGTCAATCAGGCCAGTAATTCAGCAGTGATTATAAAATAATGATGACTGGGACATTGTGGTGTATGCTTACAATCCTAGCACTTGGGAGGTGGATGCTGAAGATCAGGAGTTTAAGACCAGTGGGTTTAGGGACAACTCTAGGTCACATGAGACTCTGCCTAAATCATCTTTAGGCTGGGTGTGGTAACTTGTGCCTTCAATTTCAGTGCTTGGGAGGCAGAGGCAGGTGGCCTGATCTACATGGTAAACTCTAGGCTATCCAAAGCTACTTAGTGAGACTAACAACAGACTAAAGGTCCTGAGGTTGATTTTAATTGGTCCAGTTAGTGTCACATGACCATTCTCTAACCAATCACCAAAGCCACAGTCTTCTCAGTACTTCAAGTTCCTGCATCAAGAGCCCCAAATCAAAGATGTCCTGACTCTACCTTATCCTAGTCACCATTTCCCACCAAGAGACAATTCAGCACAGGCCCCTAGCTCTTTAAATCAGGGCTCTGCAGGTCCAGCCTTTTCACTGTCTTTCTTTCCTTTACAGTTCAGAAGTAGCCGCCGAGCTGCTTCTAGCAGAGGCAGATGCTGGACAGCTGGAGAGCTCCAAACCCACACGTCCCCACACATTATAGAGGACAGCATGGTGGCTGCCAAGTCCCCACCTGTTCCCAAGCTCCAAAAGCACAAACTTGGAGGGAAACCTCTACATCACTCCATTGTCAGCCCATGGCAGATGGGAAGGAAATTCTGGAATGAAGTTGGCTGTGAACCCAATGAATAATGAGGGTTAATCTCATAGACACATCACTTGCCTTTTGACCTCAGTTCTCAGGCTTGTTTCTCATTCCCCACAACTCCTGGGACTTACACACAGCATAAACTGCCAGAATGGGAAGAAAACCAGCCCCACGGCCAAGAAAGAAGCACCACATACCCTGGGTGTCTGTGGACATGAGCACAGTCTGGGCCACCATCTTTTCTATTTTTCTTGATGGGGAACTAACAGACTCCCTGCATGCTTTGTGCGCAGCATCCATGGTGATCCTAGTCGAGCCCAAAGGTGAAGCTGTCACTCAGCATGGGCCCTGGATACCCACCGGCAAAGAGGCAAGAGCTATGTGGAAATCTTCCACTGAAGACTGGCTAGGGATAGCATGACACACCTGGTGCTCTTCCTGAGCTTCAGTCTTCTCTACCAAGGACTCTGGTTCCAGAGTGTCTTCCAGAACCATGGGGTCTGCCTCTTATTCCCCACCTTGTGCTGTAGCCTGGGGCATCATCCTGCAAATTCCAGAACTTGACCTGAGCCAGGTCAGCCATGGGGGGAGAGACAGAGCTTGAGCTCTCTCCTGCCACTGACTCTTTGGGGGCCTGGGACCCTATCTTCGTAACCCACGCAAGTGACTCAGGGCCCTCGATAGGGTATCCAGGAGTCCTATACAGAAGAGATGAGGTGGGCCCTGGCTTTAGGTTGTTAGCCCAGCTCTAAGTTCCGTGTCCCTGACCATCCACAGCAACAAAGGCTTTCCCTAGAGGTAACTTTGAGACTCCTATACTGGATTCTCTGACTCAGGCTCTCAGGAGTCTTTGCTGCATTTTGTAAGGGAGGGGTTAGAGAAATCTTAGGAAGGCTTGCTATTTCATGATCTGGAGTCTCAGGAGTCTAGAAAGAAAGGCTCAGCTAAGGGTCAGTCTAGAGATTAGGAACTGGGACAGAGAGTAAAGGCCCAGTAGCTACAGCCTGTCTTAGGACCCAGCAGAACAGGGGAAAGGAGCCCAAGAGAACCCTCTGCCAAACAGCCTCCTGCTTTTGCCCCTGTGATTCTCCAGTTTCCTGCCTGTCACAGGGACTTCACCTGCTGGGCCTTGCTTGCTATGAGGCCCCACTACCCAAAGTCATACCCCTCCCACATTCAGCTCAGATCTGGTGAGGGTGACCCACACTTCCCCTGCCTAACAGCTAGGGATACTACTGGCTTCAACAGGGGAACAGGTTCAAAGCCACAATCACACTGGTTGGGGATTGGAAGTTCATTTCCTCTGAATAAAATCAGGACCCTGATACTTCCTCCCCAGAGCTCGCTGCCTGGCTCCCTATAATCTCAGGGACGCTGGGCAGGGCAGGTTAGCCCTGAGCAGTGGCTGCTAGGAGAGCTCTGGGACTCCTAGAGAAGGTCAGAAGAGCAGCTGGGAGGACTGAGGTTGGAAGTGTCTGTATGGGGTTGGTGTTCCTAAATCAGGCCCCCATTGGGGGAATAAACTTGGGCTTATGTTCCTAAAGCAGGGACTGGCTGTGCACCTTTTATGGAATCTTTGAAGCCAAATTAGAAATGGCCTCATTTGCTGTGGGAAGTAAGTGCATGAGCCCAGAACATGTGTGTGAGTTGAGAGGCTTGGTCAGGGGAGATGTACCATCTATAGAAACAGCCTGTCACAGGCCCCTGATCCTAAAGCTCCCCCTCCCATGCTGAGGGTCCAGCTTTGGGACCTCAAAATGAGTGAAAGGAAAGGCACTGTCTAGGGGTTGTCATGAGGGATAGAAGAAACAGAGGGTGGCTTTGTCTTTAGCCTTTGCATCTCTGGAGCCCAGCCTGCACCCAGCCATTCCTTCCCATCCCCTAGTCACAAGTGTACACTAGGCCTGCCATTCACACCCTTGAGCACACTTATTCACACATCAGCCTGGAACAATTGGAGTCTCTGCATCAGGGAAGAGCTTAGCTGGAATGTTCTTCCACTTAGGCAATAGCAACCTGAGAGTCTTCCCATGGTTCCAGAGGTTCCCAGGGTGTCCCCTGGGCAGAGGGGCACACAGGGCAGGAGGAAAGAGCCATTGGGATGGGGGAAGATTGAGGGAGGATTCTCTCAGCACCCAGTTCCCACGAAGCTGGGAGGGGCAGGGGCCCTGCTGTGCTAACACTGTCTCAGCTGCATGAGCACACTGGCTGAGGGTACTAACCTCGCCTCTCTTTGGGCATCCTGGTGACCAGTAAGAACTGCCCCTCCCCCCACACACTAATGAACTCTGTATTTCTTGGCATGGAAAGAAATAAAGCTGAACGTATGTGCTCCGTGTGTGTGTGTGTGTGTGTGTGTGTGTGTGTGTGTGTGTGTGTGCGTGCGCATGTGCACACGCGCGCGTGTGTGTCTGCTGCTGAGATCCGGTGTTCCAAATAGCCAAACAGGAGCTGTCAATATGTCAATCCATGGATTTGGCTGTGGCTTGGGGACCCTGTAGTCTTTGGGCCTCCATCGACAATTCAAGGCATCCCTGTGGGTAAACCACCATTCTCTCCAGGCCTCAGTTTTACACACTATAAGACAGGTGGGGAGGGAGACAGGATCCTAAGAACTCAGATGCACCAGAACAAAGTGGGCCAGGTCATGGTGCTGGGTTCAAATTTCAAATGGTTATATACTAATTGGGGCCCCCTGGGGAAGTTCCCATCTCCCAAGTCTTATCAGATCTTAAGTATGACCATATGTCAAGAGCTCGGAGGCCTTGCTTCACTCTGCTGTCCCCAAAATAAGTGACTATTCTACCTACTCTATACACGTGTGTGGGAGAGCTAACTGTCCCTAGTCCCAGCTACCTGGGAAGCTAAAGCAGGTGGATTGAAAGCTTAGGACTGGCCTTGATTGTTGCATGAATTTAAGGCCACCATCCTAGGCAATTTAGTGAGGTCCCATCTCAAAATAAGAAGCCTGAGGGTACAGTTCAGCAGTGAATCATTTACCCACAACATGTGTTAACTTGGGTTCAATCCCCAGTAACACACACACACACACACACACACACACACACACACACACACAGCCTTTGTAGTGCCCTGGTCATGCCCCATTTTTGGTACCTGCCTCCTATGGGGTCAGTAGGTTAGCAATTCCCTCTCCTTCATTCTGGTCTCATGTTTAGTCCTCATCTGTGTAATAGGCACCCGCCTATATGCAACATGAATGTGGGAAGTCAGGCTCTGCAAGAAGACACACAGCATATACAAATGAGGACATGTGTGGGTGTTTCCCAGAGCAGGAGGAAGTCCCAGGGTCCGCCTGGAAGGGGAAGGCAGGGGTGACTTCCTTGAGGGGTCCCTCCCTCTCTCTCATCACAAACTTGTACTAAAGACCTACTGTGTGGCAGGGCCAGCATTGGACCCTGGAGACACAAAGATGAAGAGGACAGGTTTCCTGGATCATGTGGTCTTTGATCTCAAGGAAAGTTCTAGGTAGGAAGGGATGGGTTTGTTGTGGCTTGGGGAGCTGCCTGGATAGGGATGGCAGCAATTTAGAGGCCTGTCCCAGGAGATCAGGGGACACCAGGAGAGTGGACCCCTCCAGAGCTCCCCCTGGTATGTGGGGGACAGGCAGCACTCTGTCTTGTTGAGTGGTAAATTTCACAATGGGAGTCATTCTTGAGACTGGCCATTTGTGAAAGATGCCCTGGTACTTGGGGGTCAGGCTCTAAATGTCTGTGTAAAACATCCCGGTCAGGCTCCCGATGGTCATGGCCTGATTGTTACAGTATGGACCCTTGCCTTTATGTCTGCCTTTTGTCTCTGTAGCCCTAATAATGGTGCCCATACTTAGTCTGTTGACTATAATGTTGCTGGTGACATCACCCTGGTGGCATTTCTTCTTACTGTGGACCCTGAGTCAAGTAGGGCTGAGGCTAGCACTTCCTATACTCTGAGTACCAGCAGCATCTTAACCCTCCTAATACCTCTGAGAAGGCTCGTTCTTCTTCCTGAGATGAGGCAGGACTCAGAGCCGCAGGGTTAGACAGGGAGTGCTGGGATTAAAGGAGTGTGCCACCACTCCAGGTTGCTGCTTCCTCTTCCTCTTCTTCTTCTTCAAAGGAAATAAATGCAATGTGGGCAACAGGGGCCTCTAGGCCTTAAAAAGTCTCCATAAAGATTGGTGACTTCAGCAAGGTGATGGTGTCGCACACCTTTAACCCCAGCACTTGGGAGGCAGAGGCAGGTAGATCTTTGTTTAGGTCAGCCAGATCTACAGGGCAAGTTCTAGGACAGCCAGGACTGTACAGGGAAACCATCTGTATGTGTGGGGTGGGGCGGGGGGGGGGGGGAGATCAACAACCTCTATGATGGCAGTTTCTTTCTCACAAAAGCAACTTAAAACAAAGGCCTGGTGGGCTTTCCTTCTAGGAATAGGGCCCCTTCTGACAGACTGGTCCAATAAATTCAAAGTCTGATCAGGACACATTTACTTCAGTTGTGGCTCAATCAGCCACCAGCCAGACTTTATTCAAAACAATCAGCCCTAAATTAGGAGAGGAAGATCCTTCAAAGACTTCAAAAACCAAACCAAACCAAAACACCAGCCTTCAAGGAGAGGCCAGGCTTCCTGAGTGTGCCCTCTGCTTTGGGGAGGTCTTTCTCTCTGTGTACTTGCTGTATGTGTGTGCCTTCTTTCTCCTAATAAGACACATTTACAGGCTGGGCAGCAGGGGCATCTATAAGCCTGAACTTTTTTTCCCAGTAGAACTGGTCAATTGAATGTGCATAGACTCTGCCATAGAGTTACATGACAGCCATCTTTTAAAGAGCATTAACATAATCCCCAAAGGTCCACAGTAAGAAGAAATGCCACCAGGGTGATGTCATCAGCAACTTTATAGTGAACAGACACTTACATGGGCACCATTATTAGGGCTACAGAGACAAATGGCAAACATAAAGGCAAGGGCCCATACTGTACCAATCAGGCCACGACCATCTGGAATCTGAGTGGATGCCTTTCACAGATATCTAGAGCCTGACTGACCCCCTAACACCCAGGGCACCTTGCACAAATGGCCAGTCTCAAGAAGAGTGACTCACACTGTGAAATTCAACAAGACAGCCAGAGGGCTGCCTGTCCCCCAGATACTGGGGTGCGCAGCAGTCCTTGGATGACAGGAATGGGGAGTCACCTCCTCAACTGCTATGAGAGTACTGGCACCCCTTCTCGGTGGTGCTGTCCCCTCTCGGTGAAGTGACCTCCTCTTGGAACTGACCCATTGCCTTCGTACACTGTGTTTCAATAAACTCTCTGGTCCATTTGTGTCTTAGTAAACTCTTTTACTACCCTAGTCATCAGTCTTCTCTAAGCTTTCTTATATTTATGGTTGTGAGCCTAGCCTTTAACGGCTGAGCTATCCCTCCAGCCCTTCTCTAAGCTTTCTTAATGACAGTGACCACACTCCTTTTCAGCCTGGCTGCCTGGCTGGAAGGCCTGAAAGTGTCTCTGGTGTCATTTGCCTAAGACAAACTGATTTCAGAAATTGAAGATGGACCAGAAGGAACTTAAGCAAGGGGAAGCCTGGAGCCCTCACACCACAGGAGGCTTCAAATGACAGGGGCTGTGCTGAGGATAAAGCCCCCGCCCCATCTCCTGTGGGCTCTGGGCTTTGAATACCCCAGTTGGTGGTGCT